GTAAGTCCTTTTGTGTCTGGCTTATTTCACTTAGCATAATGTCTTCAAGTTTCAATCATGTAGCCTCTGTAAGAATTTCATATATATATATATATTCAGCTTTGAATTTGGTTGACCCTTGAACAATGCAGGGGTTTGGGTGCAGACACCACCCCACAGTAAAAAATCCATATACATACCAGGTGGAAATCAAGTCTGAGATGATCAGCCTCTACTCAGGCAAATTCTCAGTCACCTGCAAGCCTGTGAAGCAGGGCTGGCCTGGCATCACTTCCTCTGCCTCAAGTAGCCTGCTGGCCAATACAGGCACAGACTTCTCTAACAAAGAAAACCAAACAAACAAAAAAGGAAAATCCACATATAACTTTTTACTTCCCCAAAACTTAACTACTAATAGCCTACTGTTGACTTTACTGATGAACATTTGATTAACACATATTTTTGTATGTTATACATATTATATACTGTATTCTTACAATAAAGCAAGCTAGAGAAATGTTATTAAGAAACTCATAAGGAACAGAAAATTTATTTACAGTACTGTACTGTACTTGTCAATACTGTAAGTTTACATCATCTGTTTACAAGACGAATTGTCTGACAATACCTATATCAATATTGTCTTATATGATACAAAACACTGTATATGTTATATGTATTACTAACACTAGACATCAAAAATGAAAAGGCAATGTGAAAAATAAATTTGTATTTATTTACATGTATAACAATAACAAATGATTGCTTTATGGTGGCCTAGTGTTGGTAGGATTCCTTCACAGTAGCCTTCTCTATATACTCATGAATCAATCATAATCTTTATGACATACAGTATCATAGTCACATAATTGGAAACACTGTTATCTTTTTTTAAAGACCCATTTACCTGTGATGATAGGCTGATATGCAATTTCTCCAATTATGAGGGGAGGCATACTATAATTCTTTGAAAGCAAAGTTATAAAAGAGTAAGAAAACTAACCACATTAATTTTATATGAAATTATCACTCACTTTATGCTTATGTACGGACAGGCTAGTATCTACATATATTTTATGCATTCATGACATACCTTTTCTTAAATTTTTCAACATGTCTCGGCTATGCAGTTCATCTGCAAGTTTTTTCAAATTATTGCAAATCTCAAAAAAATTTCCAACGTATGTATTGAAAAAAACCTACATATAAGTGGACCCACATAATTCAAACCCATGTAGTTCAAGGCCAACTACAATTTCAATAGTTTTGAAATATATTAAGACTTGTTTTGTGGCCTAACCTATGGTCTTTACTGGAGAATGTTCCATGTGTGCTTGAGAAAGTGTATTCTGCTGTTGTTGGGTAGAGTGTCTGTGTGTCTGTTAGTTCCAATTGGTTTATAGTATTGTTCAGGTCCTTTATTTCCTTACTGATTCTGTTTGGTTGTCCTATCATTGAAGCTGTTGTACACCAGAAACTAACACAATATTATAAACTGATTATACCTCAATTTAAGAAAAAAGCAAATATGAGGAAATGGAGGTGCAAAAAAAGAGTGGTACTGAAATCTACTATTATTGTAAAGCAATATATTTCTCCCTTCAATTCTGTCATTGTTATTTCAAATATTTTAATGGTCTTATTACATATTTTTTATTATATTTTCTTGCTGTATTAAACTTTTTATATCTTTGTTAAAATTTAAAGTCTGTTTTGTCTCATTGGTATATTTACTCCTGCTCTCTTTTGGTTACTATTTGCATGAAATGTCTTTTTCCAGCCTTTCACTTTCTACCTGTTTGGGCCCTTGTATCTCAAGTGAGTCTCTTGTAAATAGCATATAGTTGGACCATGTTTTTGAAGTCTATTCTGTTGATCTGTGACTTTT